AATTAATTTACACTGTAGAATAAAAATAGCTTTTTATCTTTTGGTGTCAAAAACTTCAGTTCCTGCTCTTCATGCAGAGGTAAGATCAAAAATCTGGTGGCTATAAGGAATCTGTATGCTCCAAGCTGTATATATTGCAAAACCATCACCCCAACCTTCAATGAAAGTGTTACAAGGAGCCTTAAGCTGGGCAACCCCGAAGCAGGCCAAAGGGAGCTCTGAAGTTCCTTTCCTGTTGCCATCAATGGCAGAACGTGGAATTCATATAGCTGAGTAAGCAATCCTGGTTAACAATGACAAATTTATCTATATATTAGATTTTCCTGTTGATTTTTCCTGTTTGTCAGAAAAATACCTAACTATTTAGTCAAACCTGTGGAACACATAATGTCTCCATATATTTGTATTAAGCAGATCTTGAGAGAGGTATCCCTCTGTTTTTTTCAGATAAAATAAGGAATCTGTGTCTTTTTGAGGCAATTTTGCTGCAATAGGGTAACTAAAATTCCTTCCTGGAAAAAAACTTGGGAAAGCACCGACCTTCAAAGAACTCCCACAATTCAGACAAAAATCTAGCAGATCTCATTAAGAGCTCCTATGAACACTAGTTTGTCTCCTGTACTACCACCATGTCAGAAGCAGCCGACAGGACTCCCAGGGCTGAGGCTTGCAATACAAGTACTTTCTTCCTGCATCAATTTTATATAAATAGATCCCCCAGAGTTATGATGAGAGAGAATAACATCATCTTGATAGGTCCAAGTGGGAGGTTCTCACTGGAATCATTAATAAGTTCCACATATAGCAACTCTTCACCATTTTTAAAAGTACTACAGAAATTAACAGGAAAAATTTTCACAATTCTATATCCATAGAATTACTTCTCTAAACTACAAAAAGTAATGAAGAGATAGTCCTCAATACAATTCTCTTGGAAGTACAGTATTATCTCTTCTGCTTTCAGCAAGCACTACAAAATATAGAAGGGTACAAAATCACCAACTACTAGAAGAAAACTTTACAGTTTTTGACACTTTCTGAAAAGCAGAAAAAACGGTCTCATCTGTGCCATGGAAAGTCCCAGCAAAAACTATGATCTATCTTTTCAGTGTGCGCTGATTAGGGGCATAACTCTTCAAAACTATTGCATTCATCTGAACCTGAAGAGAATTAGGAATCAGTGCAGCTCTTGGCATATGGTGGCAATGCAAGATATGGACAGGTACAGCAAAGTCCAGAGAAAAACACCTGAGAAAAACAAAACAAAACAAAACCACCAAACATTTTGCTAGTATGCAAAATTCTAGGAAAACTCAGGGAGCAAGTAAAAAAGTCAACATCCTGAATTTACCAACAAAATTTCCCTCTACATTACAAAAAAGATCACAACAGACAACAGGTTAGGACTGTATCTGTGACACTGCTCCTAAAAGCACTTTGCTGAATCCATCTCTTGTAGAAGCCACTGAGTAAATGCTGAAGAGGCAGTCCAATAGATTCTTAAACACTTTGCCGTGCCGAAAGCAAGTATTAATACAGAAAGTCTCTCTATATGTACACAAACAACTGTTTGTCTTTTGCTGTTATCTTAGAAAAAGAAACACACATCTGGGAGAATCATTGAAGACACTCAAAATGGAAACTAGAAACATGAGATAAACCTTTTTATAGTCCACAGACGTTAAGAATGCTCACCCTTTTTGTAATACATTATGAAGCTGAAGGCATTTCTCCTAATAACAGTTTTATCTGTAATTTCTAACTGAAAAGCTTTTTTAAATGCAAGGATACAACACTTGTACATAACTGTGACCACATGCAGATTCCTGTGGACAACATGAACTCCTAGTGAACTCCAGTCTTCTCAGAATTAGCGTCTGACATGAGATGTCAAATGTAGAATTTACAATAATGGCAATTATTATCAACACTTCTTTCTGTTATGTTTGTGAATACACACACAGAGCAGTCTGTGCACAAAAAAAAAAATCTCTGTAGCTTGCTTCAGTTATTCATACAGCCTTTCCTTTCAGATTATAAATTGTTTAATATGGGTAGAGTACTTAGCACTAAAGAACTGCAGCCTAACAGACTACGGGAGTCAGTCTGGGCTTAGTGTTTTGCTAAAGCTAGTCAAGGTATCTCAATTATTTTCGCACACACACTTTTAATTAACACTTCTCTGTGCCCCACCTGTAAAAACTCAGCAAGAGCACCACACAGGTTAATTAATTAGTAACATCAGGATCAGGTAATTCAGATGGAAAAGCTCCACATAAAGTATGCAGTCACTGCTTAGAAGACACAGAATTTCTGTTTCAGATCCTAGAGGGCTAAATAGAAAACCTCCTATAGCATGTTAGTATTCCCTCTTTTATATCTCCAAGAAAAAAGTATTTGGCTCCTTTTCCTCCCCCAAAAAAAGCGCAAACCAAAAAACCCACAAAACAACCAAACCTTTACTACTTTAAGTCGAACATGTTTGGCCAAAGATTATGTTAAACAAATTTAGAGACCTTTGCAGAAAAAGTAATACTATACCATTGGGTGGATATTATCTGACTATAAATACTTTTATCAGTACAAATGGATGTTCTTCAGTTTTCATAATCATGCTTCATCTTCAGTCCATACTTAACAGCATTTTCGTAACATTTTTAGTGTGTTAAAAATATGATTAAGATAAAACTTCACTAAAAGTGACTTTTGATAATTTGTGCTGTAATTTGCAGGTTCAAAATCGAATGAGTGAAAATAATGTGGAAAGACGACAGACTGAAGACTCCATTTACCACTGCCATCACAGCAAGCTGCATATGCACAAATAACAAAAGTTTCTGCAAAATATGGAATGTGACTTAACACTACTCCTGTTTCATTGTACCCTGTATGCAAATCACTGAACTAACTGTGGGAGAAATGAGAAAGCTTGGGGGCTGGTTTTGGCCTTGCTGTTTTCACTGAATGTTTTGATTGTGGGGTTTGGGAAGGCTCTCCATCTTAAGATGCCTTAAATTTCATTTAGCGAAAGACCCACTGATAAAGGTAACGTATCACTTCCATATACATTGCCTATCATGCCTTTGGAAACTTTTTCAATTAAACCACCAAACATATGACTCAAACCCAGCTATTCTGAAGCAATGTGGAATCGTGAGATTCCGATAGCATCTCTGTTTCAGTAAGACACTTTATCCTTGCTCCTTCCAGAGGTATGTTAGAGTATGTTACTCTACAGTACAGAAATCCTCACCCGTTGGATTTTACTCCTCCCCTCGCAGTACGGTACCAGAGGCAACCCCCACCGCC